CTGGTGGAACTTGAGGACATTTCCTCTTGTCCTGTCATTTATTCCTTGGTTGAATGTACCGACCCCCATATTCACGGTGGGCTTTCTTCCTCCTCAGTCTTGGTCTGCTTGGTTTCATTTTCATACATGTTTTTACCACAGTCTGGGTTCCCTGGTTCCCAGTTACTCGGTTTTTCTGTTCCTTGTTTCCTTGAAAGCTGATTGTCCCTGACTCACAGGTTGCACGCTGCATTGCTTGGGCACTGTGATTCGTGTTTATGGACTGGGATTGCTGGTGTCCTGCTGTGCCTGCCCTCATCCACACCACAATTTAATCTACAGTCCCAGACCCACGCTGAATGACTACGTGCTCTTCTTAGAAACTAAGGCAAAACTAAATCAAATAAAGACAACAGCAATTGCCTAGACAATTTGTATTGTAATTAAAGAAGCTAAAATCAGCTGAAGCCAAGATGAGCCCAGACAAGTCCTGATGACGTCAAGATACTAAAGTTAAACTCGTGAGATGTATGGAAATTGTTATATTAAAATCAAGTGTGAAATATAAATTAAGCTGACCAGGTCCATTGTATAGTCCCATCCTCACTGGCCAGAGGCCAGATAAGAAATTAAGAAAGAAAAATTGTTGGTTGAAGATTTATGATTTAAACAATATATCTTTGTCTAATGAGCAGGATGCAGTCATCAAGAAGCAGAAGTGGAACTGATAAATTGCTGACTCAGTTAGTCAACCCTAAAGAACTGCTTCGACGTGCCAAAAGACTGTCACTTTCAAGGAAAGTTAATTCCATCAGGGGGAGGTTGAGACCACTGACTCACGGACCCTCTACTGAGTTCACACCACCGACTCAAAAGAAATAGGTGGAGGAATAAGACTGAGCATGGGTACTAATTTACATGCTAGGCAAAGGGATTTTAACCAATCAATTAATAAAATAACGATGTGTGTGTGTTAGGAGGCTGACTACATGAATGCTTTGTGTATGAATGACCATGGATTTGAAGATCTGGTGTGCTGTCTCGGGACAGGCACCCAGACACGCGCATGTGTGCAATAAAAGGAAGTATCTCCACTCTGCGTGTGGATCGGCTCTTTGCACACTGGGTGATGAACCCAATTTTGGGGACAAAACCGAGACCCTTCACTGTTGGATCAATTCCACGCCTATGGTTTATCACTAGTTACAGCAGAAATATCTCCTGGGCTACAGCAGGTTCTCTGACTTTGGGTTTTTCAACGCTGCAAGACCTGAAAGCAGAGCAGTAAGCGGCTGGCACTGCCGAGCTGGAGGGGCAGGCGTGCAATGGGACCGGGAGGGTGGGATAGGAAGCGGGTTGGCACTGACAATGCCAGTTTCGACGACGACAGCCCAGGTTTGTCACTGCTCATTGGAGTCCCTGCCTGCTCCCATCGGAGCCGACTGCTGTGCCTTTGTGTCCTGCTTTTGGTGGGAATTGCAGGGCTTGCTGGTGGCTTAGACCTACACCACTTCCAGCTCCTCATGGAGCGGCACTGAGCCCACGGATGCCCTCCACCCTCCTGCTGTAGGACTCCATTATGGAGATGCTGCCTCCAAATCCAGCTGCGGAGCTCACTGGGAGCAAAGGGAGGTCTCAAGAGTGGCCTGGTGAAGTCCCTTACCAGGTAAAACACCACCAGCCCAGGCTGTGCAGGAAAAGCAGCTGCGTGACCCTGCCAAAGAGCTGGTCCTGCCTTAAAACAACAACGCCTGCGGCAGGGCATGCCTTTAGCAAACACAGCCTGCACCCTCCCGCTCTGTGTGCCTGCTGGGGCCCTTCCTCAGCAACCCCTTTGCAGAAGAAGCAGAACCTGTTTCTTCAGGGGAGATGGGAGCTTGTGTGGGCTGTGCTGGCACTTCCAGCAACCAAGGCGCTCCATGGCCTCGGGCAATGCTAGTTCCCAGAATACAAATTTCCTGTAAGGCTCTGCCCAGCCTTGAGAAATCAACCTTTGGAGAAGGGGCTAGAAAATGTCCCAGCAGAAGCAGCATGCTCTGTTCTGGCTGGATCAAACAGACTAGTTCAAGGTCTTATTTCCTTGAAATGGGTTTTGTCTTCTATTACAGTATAAGCAAAGGCTGAAGTTACAGGCTGGGAATTTCACCGAATGTTTTTAAAAATATATCACATGGAAAGCTGGGGTTTTCACTCTTTAGGAATAAAATCCCAACTGGAACTGCTGGAATTTCCCACAGCACAGAGAAGCCAGGTTTCCACCAGCCCTGAGAAAATTCTGCTTAAAAAAGATTCCAAGGGCAGACACACTGTCCCAGTCTTGATCTTATCTTCATCTTTCAGTTGGGGGATTTGGCAGGGGAAAATTAGTATGTATTCTGCTGGGATCTGAGATGAAAGAGAAAGTAAAGGTGCAGGATGTGACTGCCCTGTTGGTATATCCGCTTTGGACCTGGCTTCGTGCTGGTGCCAGGAATCTCCCCCACCAGCCAGGTTGCCTGCAGATCTGGGGGCCTTGTACTCCATCCCTCAGCATCAGCAAGACCCTGATGGCTGAGACCCTCCCGTATCCCGAAAGTCAGGGCTGTAGTAACAAGACAGCATCCCCAGGGAACCAGGAGCTGCTTGGGGTGGCCACTGGGTCCCTGCTCACCCCTTGCTTTGGTGATGCTCCTCAGAGGCAGCCTGGCCTGAGCTCACCAGTCTAGCTGATGAACTTGTGATCCTCATTAGCAAATGTCACCTCTCTTGGCCTGGTGACCAGCACTGCTGTTAGAAAGTGGCTGCCAAAAAGGAAGGGAATAGCTGCTTTTGCATTTGGGTTAAATAATGAGCTTAATGTGCATTGGGAAGCTGGGGGTTGGAGATGGGGAGAGCTTCACAAGCCAAAGGACAGTGGTGCCTTTGCATCAAGAGACAAATTGGTAGGAGAGGAGGATGGAGCAGCTGACTCCTGAAAGTCCCTGCCTGAATAATTTGCCAAGGAGGCTGGAGCTGCTCTGCCTGCACTAAGAAAAGCTGATGTAAGTGCCGCTGGGGAATTCCAGGAGCTGTGAAGCTCCAGAGCAGGCAGCATTCCCTCCCCTGTCCCTCCGCCTCCTGTCGTCACCCTGAGACGCGTGTGGGGGAGCTGAACCCCCATCCCGGGGCTTCATAATCCTGGAATGAGCCGCGGCAGCTGTGTCGCTCCGGAGGATGCAATAAGCAGTCAGGAGCAGGAAATACTGCCCGTAATCCTTCCCTGCCTGCCCTTCCTACTGCCGACAGCGGGAACATGAAGGCTGTTTCTCTCCAGGTCCTGTTTGTGCTGAGGGTCTTGTGCCTGGTGACCCTGGCTGGAGGTGAGCTGCAGCTCCGCTTGTCACCCCGGGGCTCCCCAGGGGAGCAGTGAGGTTCACCAGGGCTGGTGAAGTGGGGAGTGGAGGCGGGGAAGGTGGTGCTGGATCAGGCTGTGGGCACCAAGGGACCTTTGTGGGCTGTGCGAGGTCTGTAGCAGGATCAGGCTGGGTTTGGGAAGGGGCTGGGGAAGCCCAGGGCAGCCATCCTGGCAGCAGGGAAGCCCAGAGCAGCCCTGTGATGGCTTTTGTCGCCCTGAGGGAAGGTGGGGAGAGTGTCAGAGAGACTTTCTGGTAATCTGTATTAGAAAAGAAGCATAATGCACTCCTATTCCCCTTTCTTCATGTCCCCTAGGGACATGCCATGGTGGGGGACCACAGCCTGTCCCAGGGTGGATGTCTGTCCGCGCAGGCTCCTCGTCCTGAGGATGCCAGTACTCGCATCCCTGGGAGCAAGGAGTGCTGTCACCCACAGCTCCAGTGCCTGTGCAGCGTGTGTGTGCATGTGTGTGTGTGTGTGCGCACAGGTGTGTGTGTGTTTGTGTGTGCGTGTGTGTGTGTGTGCCTGTGCAGCGTGTGTGCGCGCGCGTGTGTGTGCCTGTGCAGCGTGTGTGTGCGCACAG